CAAAATATTATTACAGCTTTTAAATTTTGTGCGCGAGCCATTTTTAGTTTGTTGGAAAAGACACACCCCCTGGTTCACAAAATTTGAGTTCGGGAAATTTTTTTCATTATTTTACATTATAAGTACCCAAAGAAGCTATATATATTAAAAAACAGATACAAATAGGTGTTTTGCGAAATTGAGAGCAATTTCAAATCTGTTCAGTTTTTTTTTATAAAGCCTGTATATTAAATTCAGTTCGTTATTAATGGCGTGATGTGTAGTTTGCTGACGTGCACGCAGTCATTATTCGCACAAAATTTCTCGCGATGGCGGCATTTCGCGAATATCTCGGATCTTTTGTTCAATGTTATATGTTTGTCTGCATCCATTATGCAGAGTTTTTCCTCTCTGCAGAGATTGCAACGCTTTGCGCCAGCTAGATGAGTATGCGCCTGCCCGGTTCCACCCGCGCGCGAATAATGACGGTGCACGTCAGCAAACTACAGATCACGCCATTAATAACGAACTGAATTTAATCGCCTGAAGATTGTCACAAATGGTGGCATGAAACTTAAAGTAGCGATATAGATTAATACATTTTAAGATAACAAATTAATTCGCTCTACTAAATATTTGTATACGAATTAACATATCGCGATTCGCAAATCGCGATGCACTTTTGAAGATATGCGATACGAAAAAGTGCAAAAACTTTAAAAAACGATATATTTTGACAGAAACTGCATTTTGAACTAGTTATAAAATTGAATAGAGTGCGAGGAACTGTTTATTTAAACCATGGTGCCAAGATACCTATATTATTTATCTTTTCCCAAAATCGGTATAAATTAGTGATAATAATTTATATTGGTGTGTTCGCAGAGGTGAACGAACTGAACAAAGAGGAAAAATTTCGCCTCACTTACTATAAAAAAATTAGAAGTGAAGTTACACGTTTACCAAGGAAAAAAGCTGAAAAATTTCGAAGCAAGTGATTAACGCACGGTATGGGAGATTTACCGATGGACGATTGCTGCTCTTTCTGATGCTGTCAGCGGTCGGTTTGAAAGTTTATCCATCTGTCCTGTGTTCAAAAATTTCCTAGATATTCTCGACTGCACCAACTGGCCAACTGATGTAACTCAGTTTCTATCTTATGGAGATTCGAACATGACTGAACTGATCAAGCATTTCACGCCGTTATTAGAGCGTAATCTTTGTAATATAGCAGAGATTCCTGCAGAATGGGATATAGAATGGGATATACTGAAGAATCCACCTTGTCATTTGATACACCTTAATAGCAGTTATCTGGATGTCTGGTCTAGAGTAAGCACCTTAGAGGAATTTCGGAAAGAGTGCGCAAATGTGCAACATATTATCGAGTTATTGCTTATAGCTCCATTTTCCAACCCAAAGCTCGAACGAATGTTTAGCACTATGGCAGTGGTTTCAAAAACTTTCATAGTAGACGTTTGCGTTGGGAAGAGTAGGAGTTGCAACCGCAGGCCGAACTTCGCAACTTGGGGGATCTGACGGCATGCTTCCAGAAAATTTTGAACTTCTAAACTCTAGAAGATGCACTTTCCAGCATTTATTCTTGAGACACAAAAAAATCTTATGTTAAATATCTAAAACACTGTTAAATTTATGTTCTTATAATTAATGCCTATAACAACAACGTCCACTAACGATATAGTGACCACATCTCCGCTAGCTTTCGTTGTCGTTTTTGTTCTTGAAGACGAATGTGACATCTTACATATAAAGTACAATCTGTTAGAAACCGCTACCAAAAAAACCTCTGAACCTGTCCTCAACGCGCAAGAAACGTACCAAAGCTTCTAATCTGTGACTTGTGGCTATGTTTGGACGAAATTCCAGGGGAAATACACGCCTGTTTGCTCACAAAACGTTTGGTAAACACTTTAATATTTCAACAGAATTCATAGTTACTTACAAAAGATAAATAGCCGTCGCAAATGGAAGAGGTGTAGTCGGATGCGACGGCTTACAGGTATTTTGAAACCACTGTATGGGAAGAGAAAAGACATGCAGATTGGCGTAATCGACTTGGTAGAGATCGACTGGAAGTGAATCTCAGAATCAGCCAGGAATGTGTTGGTAACTCGATCGATGATTTCTACCCAGACGCAGCGATCGAATCATGGTTCAATGCCAAAATTCGACGACTGAATTGTTCTAACCATAACTTTCCAAAAAAACACAACACCTCCTCGAAAGGAGATGTGATTGACATCACCAAACTGACTATGTCTGATTTAGAAAACGTTCATCTAGACTCTGACGATGAAATTGATTTCTGACTCTAAAATCTGGATTAAAATTCCAGACAACTTGTATTATATTAGCTGTAAATGTCTATACTATAACATATAAAACTTTTTTCAAACGTTCTAGAAATTAGGGAAAGTACATTTATTATGCCGAGGGGGCGGGGGGGTGAAGATGTTAAGGGGGGGCACCGAAATATTTTCTGGCATTAAAGGTTGGGGGCTGTGAAATTTCTCGAAATACTGAAGGCGGGCTCTAAACTTTTCAAAGTTTTGGTCCAGCAGGGGCCTGGTGTGTTCACTCCCACCATAGTTAACAGAATAGATGGCTTGGAAACTCATTAGAATAACAATATAACTCATTACCTATGTCAGTGAACAATAACATTCATAGATCTGGTCTTTACCGTCACGTGCGTATTGTATTTTTGCCCGACTAACCAAAAGCAATATGTTACAGGAAAGTTACCTATCCATGACTCAAACAATAGCGTAAATTGAAAATTGCTATTGGTGGACATGGCAAAAATATAATACACACGTGACGGTGAAAGAATATATTTATGAATAAACGTTGACTAACATACATGTAGATGAGTTATATTGCTATTCTAATGATTTCCAAACTACATCTATTCTATATTAACTGACATGGGGGAGCTCCACATGGAATACGCAAAAGGCTGCAACACACCTGTCAAAAATGCATGCAAAAGCACCAATATGCTTCAACTTCTGAAATTTTCATTCTGTTTCTACCAAATTTTCCATGAATATAGAACATATCGTTCTCACAAATCGTTTTTTTTTTTGTTTTTGGAATTGCTACTTTTTGGCGGGTAAATTACGTCACAAACGTGGCGCCAAAAATTAAAAATAAGCTATTGGTGATTTTACTGAATCCATTTAGTAGAGCAGACCAAGGGTACTTTAATTAAAACTGAAATCTGTTTCTAAATACAACCATTTTATGGGAAGATATAGCAATACAAATGTCGAAAAATCCGCCATATTGTTACTAAAAATAGAACAAAATACTGAAAAGATTTATTCATAGATTGAGCATAGCTAGATACATTAAAAATATATAAAATCCATTAAAGCAATTCGTTTAAAAAGGTTCAAGTTAGTA